GTTAATATGGTGTATCACACTGATTGATTTGCAGATATTGAATCATCCTTGCATTCTTGGGATAAATCCCATTTGAATATGGTGTATGATCCATATAATGTATTGTTGAATTAATAATTTGCTAGTATTTTGTTGAGGATTTTTGCATGTGTGTTCATCAGTGATATTCACCTGTAATTTCCTTTTTTTGTGATCTTTTTTTTTTTTTTTTTTTTTTTGGTATCAGGGTGCTGCTGGCTTTATAGAATGGGTTCAGAAGTCCTTCGTCTAGTTTTTTTGAATAGTTTGAGGATAGGTATTAGCTGTTCTTTAAATGGTAGAATTTACCTGTGAGGCTGTCTGGTCCTGGACTTTTGCTTATTCTTAGTTTTTTGGTTATTGACTCAATTTCATTACTGGTAATTGGTCTGTTCAAGTTTTCTGTTTTTTCCTGATTCAGTCTTGGGAGATTGTACATTTCTAGGAGATTGTCGGTTTCTTTTAGGTTGTCCGTTTTATTGGTGCATAGTTTTTCATAGTAATTTCTTATGATCCTTTGTATTTCTCCTTTTTCATTTCTGATTTTATTGATTTGTTGATTTGGGCCCTCTCTTTGTTTCTTGATGTGTGTAGCTAAAGGTTTATCAATTTGGTCTATCTTTTCAAAGAACCAGCTCTTAGTTTCATTGGTCTTTTCTATTGATCTTTTAGTTTTTATTTCACTTATTTTGCTGTTTATTATTTCTTCCCTTCTGCTAACTGTGGGTTTTGTTTGTTATTTTTCTAGTAGCTTTAGGTGTAAAGTTAGGTTGTTTGAGATTTTTCTTGTTTCCTGAGCTAGGCTTGTATTGCTATAAACTTCTCTCTTAGAACTGCTTGTGCTAAGTCCCATAGATTTTGGATCAGTGTGTTTCCATTTTCATTTGTTTCCAGGTATTTTTGGATTTTCTCTTTGATTTCATCAGTGATCCATTGGTTGTTTAGTAGCATGTTGTTTAGCCTCCATGTGTTTTTTGTGTCTGCAGTTTCTCTTTATAGTTGATTTCTAGGCTCATAGTGTTATGGTCAGAAAAGATGTTTGGTATGATTTCAGTCTTAAGAAGATTTATTGAGACTTGCTTTGTGGCCCAGCTTGTGCTCTATCCTTGAGATGTTCCATGTGTACTTGAGAAGGATGTGTATTCTGTTGCTTTTTAATGGAACGTTCTTTCTGTATCTATTAAGTTCGTCTGATTTGATTTTTTTTTAATTAACTGAGGTAAGATACACAGAACATTTAACCATTTTGTAAAATGTTTATTTATTTATTTGGCTGCATTGGGTCTTAGTTGTGGAATGCGGGATCTTTTGTTGTGGCGTGTGGGCTCTAGAGCGTGTGAGCTCTAGAGTGCGTGGGCTCAGTAGTTGTGGCACATGGGGATCTCTAGTTGTGGCACGTGGGCCCCATAGCATGTGGGCTCAGTAGCTGTGGCATGTGAGCTCTCTAGTTGTGGTGTACGGGTCTAGAGAGTGCAGGCTTAGTTGCCTCTTGGCATGTGGGATATTAGTTCCCCAACCAGGGATTGAACCTGCGTCCCCTGTATTGGGAGGCGGATTCTTAACCACTGGACTACTAGGGAAGTCCCTGATATGTTGTTTAAAGTTAGTGTTTCCTTATTGATTTTCTGTCTGGATGATCTATCCATTGATGTAAGTGGAGTGTTAAAGTTCCCTAGTAGTATTATGTTACTGTCAATTTCTTTATGTTTGTTAATATTTGGTTTATGTATTTATGTGCTCCTATGTTAGGTGCAGATATATTTACAATTGTTATATCTTCTTTTTTTTTGGCCGTGCCATGCAGCCTGTGGGATAAGTACACTCCCCTCAGGTCACCGGAGTCGTATGACCTAGGGATGCCCCCTGTGTGGGCTATGTGGGCCCTTTTGTTTTGGTGGGGCTGATTGCTGTGGCACTCTGGTACATGGGGCTGGCTCCCAGCCCACTTGGCTGTGGGGCCCTGCATAGTGCAGAGGCTTCCAGCTGCTTGTGGCTGGGGCCAGGTCCTGGTATGGCTGGCTGTGCAGTGCAGGAGTCCTGGGCTGATACTGGCCAGCTGGCAGGTAAGGCCAGGTCCCAACGCAGCTGGTTGTTGGTGCTCGGAGGGGTCCTGCCATCTTTATATTTTCAGTGGGGTGTATTTTCATGTCTCTCATTCTTGTTTTTTCACTGTTGTTTTTTGAGACTTATTTATATAGTTTAGGTATTAGTCATTCATCAGATATGCAGTTTGCAAATACATTCTCCCAGTGTGTAGTTTGTCTTTTTCTTCTTTTCATAGAGTCTTTTGCAGAGTAAAGGTTTTTAACTTTGGAGAGGTTCAGTTTATCAGTTTTTTTCTTTTATGGATTATGCTTTTGGTCTGATGTCTAAACACTCTTAACTTAACCCTAGGTCCTGGAGAGTACCTCCTATGTTTTTTCCCTCAAGTTTTATAGTCTTATATTTTTACGTTTAAGTCCAGAGTCCATTTTGTGTTAATTTTTGTATGAGGTATGTGATTTACTGTGAAGTTCATTTTTGTGCTTATGAATGTCCACTTGCCCTAGCACCATTTGTTTAAAAGTCAGTATTTTCTCCATGGAATTGCTTTTGCACCTTTATTAAAAATCAGTTGGGCACATTTATGTGTATCTAATCGGTGTTCTCTATTCTCTTGCATTGATCTGTGTATCTGTCCCTTTGTAAATACCATACTGTTTTGCTTACTGTAGCTATATAGTAAGTTTTTACATCAAGTTGAGTGACGTTTTCTCCCCTCAATAATTCTTTTTCAAAATTGTTTTAGCTCTTCTCTGTCTTTTGCCTTTTTATATGAGTTTTAGAGTAAGGTTGTCCTTATCTCCAAAATACCTTGCTGGGATTTTGATAGGAATTGCATTGGACTCACATATCAGTTTGGGAAGGACTGACATCTTTACTATGTTGAGTCTTCTGATCCATAAACACAGTACATCACTCCAGTTATTTAGCTCTTTGGTTTCTTTCATCAGCATTTTATAATTATCAAGATACACATCTTCAGCATATTTTGTTATATTTATGTCCAAATGTTTAATTTTCTTCTGAGCAATTATTAATGTATTTTTTAAAATAAATCTATTTATTTATTTATGGCTGAGTTGGGTCTTTGTTGCTGCGCTCGGACTTTCTCCAGTTGCGGCGAGTGGGGGGTACTCTTTGTTGTGGTGCGCGGGCTTCTCATTGTGGTGGCTTCTCTTGTTGCAGAGCACAGTCTCTAGGCGTGTTGGCTTCAGTAATGTGGCTCGTAGGCTCTATAGCACAGGCTGAGCAGTTGTGGCGCATGGGCTTAGTTGCTCCATGGCATATGGGATCTTCCTGGACCAGGGCTCAAACCCATGTTCCCTGTATTGGCAGGCGGATTCTTAACCACTGTGCCACCAGGGAAGCCCAAATGTATTGTGTTTAAGTTCAACTTCTACCCATTCATTGTTAGTATGTAACAGTGTGATTTTTTTTGTGTGTTGATCTCATATGCTGTGATCTTGCAAAACTTATTAATTCTCAGAGGTTTCTGGGTATATTACAGGAGATTTTCTATGTGGAAAATCATGTCGTCTTTCAATAGGGACTGTGTTATTTCTTCCTTTCCAAGTTATGTGTCTTTTTTTTTTTCCTTAACATTATTCCAATGTCTAAAACTTCCAGGACTGTGTTTAATAATAGTGGTGAGAGTGGACTTCCTTGTATTGTCCTGATTTTAAGTGGGAAGCATTCAGTCTTTCACCATGAAATATGATATATTTTAGGTCTTTTATTGGTGCTTATTACCAGATTGAGGAAGTTTCCCTCTGTTGCTAGTTTGCTGAAAATGTTAATCATGAATGAGTTCAATCAAAGAAGCAGAATTACTAGGAGATATACAAACATACACACAAAGATGTGTTACTGGCATTTGACTTTGTGTAGTTGTGGGAACTCATTAAACTGTCTCTGTAAAGTTGTTTTCTTCATGTCTTTTGCTGGGGCTTGACATCCTCAGGACAGACAGTTGGGAAAGGATGATGGTAAATTGGGGATAGGAAGGACAGGCCTGAACCCATGAAAACATAAGATCTATGCCAGTTCTCACTGTCTTCAGTCTTATAGATGTAGGTGTTTTTTTAGGAGAAACTGGTACCCTTTGTCATGGACCTAAACACAAATTGGCCTAGTATTCCAAGAACCTAAAAGAGGATCTATGGGTAGGCAGGACGGTTATGGGCCTAGTGGCTCCCCATTCTAACGAGGTGAGCCAGACAAGTAACAATGTATATAAACAATATAAGCATCAATAAAAATCAGTATTGCTGTTACTTTACTTCCACCCACCAATCTTGTGCAAATATGACTGGTAATTCAAGTAACATGAATCATACAGGGAAAAAATTCTGGGAAACATGGTTCGTTGTGAGTTGACACATTTCAAAGCCACCACACTTAAATGCTGCTTGTTGTTCATTGTAAGGCTCTTGGTAGGGATGGGAGGGGGATTCCTGTCCCTCCCTTAAGGATAGGCAGTTTATACTTCGTTCCTTTCCTGGAGGCAGTTGCCTTTGCCTGAAATGGACGTGAGGGTTTCCTGCCTCTCTTAAAGCTAGTGGACCTTTGCTGAGGCTCTTTTTAGCTAGGGCTTCCCCAGTGGCTTAAGACTTTTGCTTCCCATGAGAGAAGGGCCTGAAAAGTGACTGGAGTTTCCTTTTTAAGTCTTACCAGACAGGGACTGTCTCAGGCTTCCTGTTGTTTTCAGTGTTTCATATGAGTACTTGGGGGAGGCTCATGAAAAAGAGCTGGTGACTGAATGTAGATTCTCTCTGTGCCTAGGATCCTAGAGATTCTAAACTGTGTCTCTAGCCCACATTTGTCCTTTAAACATTCATTTGAGTTTTTACTATTTTCTTCTTACACGTTTTGATTGCAGTCATCTCTTTGTCCTGTTCATTGTCAAAGGTAAAACAGTTCTGTGTTCTTTCTCTCCTGAGAGTTTGTTACACTTTAATTATCAGTTCTCCTGGTTATCTGGCAAGATGTCTTGGAAGCCAAAGAAGATTATGTCAAGGAGACAGCATTTACCTATGACAGCTAATGATACTATGAGGTTATGAAAAATGTGCCTTGAAAGAGACCATTGAATTTACTGATACCCCACGATTTCTGAGAACAAAACCAATGAATAGGAGGGGGCAAAACAGACAGTTCAGGAAAAGGAAGACCTGACAATGAGCTAGAGATGGCAGCGTTTGTAGTTGACTAGGAAGTTTGGCCTTAAAAAGAAGTTGCTCAAAGGGGCAATAGAGTCAAGTAAAGTGAAAAGTTTGAGGCCAACTGGCCCGAGGCAGGGGAACACAATCAGATTCACAGGTTGCATCAGACCGAAGCTCTCCGGACCACCCAGTTCCAGAAACTGACTTGGAGACTTTCCAGACCACCCAGTTCCAGGAACTGACCTGGGGACTTTGCACCCGGCCCAGCCTTCCCGCCTTTCGAGGCGCGGTACTAACGGTCCCCCAGGATACCTGAAAAGACCACCAAATAAGGAATACCCTGCACCCTCCCAGATTCACCACACCCCTTTCCCTTCTTCCCCTATAAAATCTTGCCCAACCCTCGC